AGCACGTTCAGCTGAAGCTCGAGCACGTTCAGCTGAAGCTCGAGCACGTTCAGCTGCCCAGTGTGCCAGTAAAACCAGCTTATCCTCATTTATTGTGTGCAAGAATAAGATTGGGTTGATATCGGCTCACATCCTGAATCCTGACTTCACATTTAGCTGCCCGATCTCATAAAACATGTGAACGTCTGTCCACATCTGTCCACATCTGTCCACATCTTAACAAAATTTCTAATTAATCTGTCAACATTATAGTTTATTACAATCATCGGCACGGGGCGTGAATAATTTCACCGCTGCAGCGTTCAAACAGGCATCTTCCTCACGTTGAGTGTGGTTTGGTGTTTTTTTAGGAGAACGTCTGAAACATTTAAAGGGTTTTAACGAAACGCTCAGGAAACGACGACCGCACGTACGTCTACACTTCATGAATGGTGGCGGGCGATGTGCATTCCTTCCAGGAACGTTTTTCCATTTTCATGCAGCTTCTTCTGGAACAGATTTCAGATTTTTTTTTTCAGATCCTAATAAAAAAGCCTGAAGACTGGGGCGTGGTGGCGCAGAGGTTAGAGCAGGTCGCTGGTTCAACTCCCCGTACCAACATCAAAATGTGGGTGGGAAAGGTGAAACACCCACACCTGCCTCCCCCCTCATTTACCCCACTCTGGGCCCTTTCCACCTTCTGCACCACTCAAGCAGCCACTAAGTCAGGATCATATGATAGAGCAGTGATTTTATTTACAAGAGTGAAATTATAGACTTTGTGGAGTCTCACCAGCTTCAGACCAAAACAACAAACAAAACAAACCACTGTATTTTCTCTTACCTGAAGAAAAATAAAATGAACCAAACCACAAGTCTCTTACCGCAGTATGCTAATGGAATTAAGAGAAAAGTCCAAATAAAGTGTCAGCTCACCTCCACAAACTCCTCTCTAAACTTTTTACAACTACAGGATCTAAAGTTGATGACAGGTCGCTGTGGCAGCTTGGGAATCATCGTCCTCCTGCAGCTCCTCTGTGCAGCATCACAACAGAGTACTTTTGTCTTTCACATTTTTTAACCCCCATCTGCCCCCCAGGTGCCCTAGATGTCAGCTCTCTGCTCCACACAGAGGGCTGTGGTAGCTCGGTGGTCACATCAGGAAGGACATGGCGTGTAAAAACAACCACTAAGTCTTCGTATGAGTTAGCTCGCTGGGGCGACCCCCTGATGAAGGGAGCAGCCGAAAGAAGAAAAAATATATATATAACGAGCACAAAGTCCACGTCGCTGAGGGGCTTGAACAGTGAATGTTTGTAGTTTTTACGATGAGTGTCTAGACTGGAACTGAACAGAGAATGAAGTAAACCTAAATGTTTTTAAAATACACAGTGGAGAAGAACAGAGGGAGGATTTCTTTGTCTGAGTCAGAGCTGAGTGACGAGGAGGGAGACGTTTCATCCACCACCATGTGCAGAGGTGGAGCCGGGGGCGGGGCTAATAGTGACCATTAAAAACACTCATCATAAAAACTACAAACATTCACTCCTCAAGCCCCTCAGCGACAGGTCACCGGGCTCGTTTTATTGGGATCTGAAACAACTGAAGCTGTTCCAGAAGAAGCTGAAGCGTCAGACGCTGCGTGAAAATTAAAAACGTTCCTGGAAGGAATGCATATCGCCCGCCACCATGCAGTGGTGAGACGCTTCGCGATAAAATCGCTCCGTGCTGATTATGATCATAAACTACGCAGATGACGGATGAATTGGAAATGAATTATTTGTTAGTGCAGGATAAAAACAATGTTTCTCCAGTTTAACAAGTGTTTCATGTTTCAGTCTCAGTGTTTACAATAAAACTGGTGTCAGGTCAGAAAATTCAAGTCAACGCTCTAAAGCACGACAGGAACGAAAAGTCCTTTAGAATCAAGACCTCATGGATCTGTCCTCGTCTACACTCTGGAACTGAACATCGTGAGGACGTGGACAGATGGACATTTGAAGAAACTATACTTTTAAACAGAAAAACTAGAAGGCGTAGTCTTTATATACTTACATGTCCGTGGCCATCTTGGATTTTGACCTGGCAACCTAATTTTTGATAGAAACCTTTCTTACACACGGATGTAGCCACAGGTCAAAATGGAAGTTAGTACGTCACTTATTTTTCGAGTTCTCTTGCTCAGAGCGTGCACAGAGAGGTGGATGGGGGTATTTCCCGTTCTCCCTCTTGGCTCCGTGACGGGGCTGATAGTTCTGCTACGTTCTCTCCGTTAGCTCTTGTTTTGTCAAGCGTTTGGAACGAGTCCGTTGATATTTTGGTAAACTCAGTTCCGTGGATCAGCGCCTCGTTTCGTGCAGTTTAACCTAAAACATTGACCTTGGCTGCAAATAGAAACGGATCAGCTGAAGCAAACTACAAACTCTGATGTCGGACGGTTCATTTGGTGCCGTTCTTCGTCTCCGAGTCAAAGAAGCAAACTGTGACGTTTAGTTTCCAACGTTTGTTTCTTGCATAACAAATCTGTCGTGAACAACACGACGACCGTCCTCGTCTGAGGCAGGAACACGGCGTTATGACGTCACCTCCAACATGGCTGCTGCCGGCACGACGTCGCTTCAGCCACAAAGTGAGCGTGGAGCTGCGGCGATGAAGATGAAGATCATCTGAAGCACGAGGCGGAACGCGCTTCCTGAAGAACAGGGCACAAGGTAAACGAGTCGATGAAAGGAAGTGGGAACTCCTCAGAGAAGACGGAAAAATGATGCAAACTGTAAAAAAAACACTTTGTTCGGTCGGACTGGAAGGATTTATTCCCGCCAGATATTTGAGATGAGGGCAGTGATAATATTTTTATCAGACTGATAGCAACGTGAACACACGACCAGACGACGCATCAACAGGAAAATAAAACTATAAATTCAAAAACTGCCGCCTTTTCTTTCTTCCACTGACATCAGCAGCTACTTTACCCTTTTATTAGGATTTTATGTGAAGTGGCAACATCTGTAAGTACAAAAAATGTCTTTACCAGTCAGCAGAGCCAAGAATCAGTAAATCTGTTATAAATATTATATACCGTACTTTCTGCCGTACACGTCGCATCAGTCCAAATATGTCTAATAAAGTAAAAAAAACTTAAATACGTCGCTTTGCCATATAGGTCGCATCTATTATCACCGCTGATGCGTCGAGTTCATTACGCGTCACCGTGCACGGGAGGACTGTAACAATAATTTAACAAGATTAAAACTTAAAAACAATTATCCGTTTGCTCATAATTGTTGCAAAGATTGAATTTTCCTTAATAAATGCTAGCGATGGTGAGATGAAGCTTCACGAAGCGCTGAGGCTTTCCATCAAACAGCTGACTCATGATCTGACGCGGTGCTTCATTTGCTCCACTGCGCCATCAAGTGGACTATACATGTAAAACAGGGAGATGGATTATAATAACATAACTGGTGTGCGAAGCTTTAAGTTGAAGGTTTTAATCTGTCTAAATATGATCTGCAAAGGATCTTAAACTGTCTCTTTGATGATCGTGACGACTCGTTTTTCTGTCTGCCCCTTTATATTTCGAATCGCGTGCATGCAAACGAGCCAGTTCCTGAATCGGTCACGTGGTTCGGCTCGCTAGCGAGGCCTCGAACGTCACTACACGCGTCATCAAGACACGCCTCGATACACGCTCCACGTAAATCCTCCCGGATTACTTGACACACGCTTCGAAGCCTCGACACAGAAGGACACATCACTAATAAATGCACTTTAATGGTCACATCAGCTGCATTTCGCCTGGGTGGTGAAATGAAGCTGATGTGTTTGCTCCAGGAGTTCCGGAGCGAGACGACGTGACTTCGTATGGCAAGCTCATTAACAGCCACTTTTACGTATTAATGAGACACTTGGCCTGCCATATAGGTCAAGGGCCATCTAGTGGCTGAAAATAGTAGTGTTCACTATTTTCCATGTCGGAATGAATGAAATTGTCAGTTCTCAGCAAAAAAATTGGTTATAAATATGAGAAAAAAAACATATATTAGTCGTTTCGGTGTATAAATCACAGGACTCGCAAATTTATACAAAAAGGTGCGACTTAGAAAGCAAAAAGTACGGTACACGCGCATTACAATTTGTCATAGAAGAAGAAAAGGCGACTGTAAACTGCGTGACTTAATTTGATTTATGGATTTATGTCTGAAGGTAAACATTATAAACTTAATAAATAATTAAAACATCAGGACTGATGAAGGTGGATCAAGCCAGGCCAGATGTGTTAATTTCTCAACATTTCAGACGTAAATAAATACAATAAAAACGTAACATTTTGGGCTCTGCCTCAGAAAACAAACACTTTATTCAGATTATTTTGGGTTAGTTTGAAAGATAAACTGCAACATGTGATGCATCTATTTTCATTTATTAAGATGCAGAACAACAGAAACAGAATCCTGCACCTTTAATTTAAAGTTTATTCTTATTTAATTGGAATTACATCAGTTAGTCTCAGAATAAAGAGTTTAACTGAAACTGCGCAGTTTCTCAACATAAATCTTTCTTTCGTGTTTAGTCTTAAAACTAGTTATTCATGTTTTACATTAAAATTAATATTTTGACAGTAAAAAAACTGCTTTAATCCTTAATTTGGATCTAATCTAGATTAATGAAAGGTGGCGATGAGTAATCTAAAGGAGCTTCCTGATCATTCGAGCTCCACCTTCATCAGTTCCGGTGAAGTCTTCGTCGTATTCCGTTCATTATTTAACGTGCGAGACGATTTAAAACTAAAGTAAATGTTCACGTGAACGTGAGGAAGAATCTGTGCAGCAGTTTTGTTGTTTTGAATAAAACCTCTGGATTTTTCTGATTTAAATGATCTCCTAAAGAACAGATTTAAACAAAGATCTTTTTGTTCACGTTGATATTTTCTGTCAGAGACAACTTTGTTAAAATCTAAAGTTTATTGTTTGTTGTTGCCGTTTTCTGTCTTTGAACAGAACTGGTTACAGAAGTTTAGCTCTAAAGTAAAACGGAGAAACTTTCCAGTCTGTTTGATCTGAATGAGCAAAATAAATCTGGATCAGTTGACAAGCGGACCGATCACAAACAGATTTAATTACCTGAAATCAATAAACTCACAAAGATCAACAACTTGTCTTGTACTTTTTGTTCTGCAGCTGCTGCCAATAAAACCACATGCCGTTAATCCACGAGTCTTTGTTTCCTCTTGTTATTATTGACGTTTGTGAAAAAGCATAAATTCTTCTGTTAAAGGGACATTTCAACGTGAAGTTAAAAACTTTATGGTTTTGGTCAAAACAGTCGGAGCAGATGCTCGTTTATCACAGTTCATACATCCATGAATGTTTTAACAAAAAGACACGAGACAAAAAGACACGAGACAAGAAGACAGGAGACAAAAAGACACGAGACAAGAAGACACGAGACAAGAAGACAGGAGACAAGAAGACACGAGACAAAAAGATAAGAGACAAAAAGATAAGAGACAAGAAGACAGGAGACAAGAAGACAGGAGACAAAAAGAGAAGAGACAAAAAGACACGAGACAAAAAGACACGAGACAAGAAGATAGGAGACAAAAAGACAGGAGACAAAAAAAGAGACAAAAAGACGAGACAATAAGACAGGAGACATAAAGACAAGAGACAAAAAGACGGGAGACAAAAAGACAGGAGACAAAAAGACAAGAGACAAA